TTTTTTCTTAGCCTGATTTTGTCTAAGAATGAATATATTGGAGATTATTTTGTGAGAGCTTCTATTTAGTTTTTGTTCATTTATACATAGTTGGGTAGAACGCATCGAGGTGAGCATGAAAATGTGTCTTTTAGTTTTTCAAATAATCTTGTGAAAGAAAAAATTGAAAAGTTTTGCGGATTACTCCTTTTTAAGAAAAACGCGTAATTTTCGAGAAAATTCAGTTTTTCTACTTCAGGTTTGCTCTGAGCATTGAAAATTGATTTCTTATTCAGCGTCAAAAACTGAATCGAAATAGTTATGCTTGAATTTTTCGGAATGTAAAATGAAATTTGGGTGCCTTAATCAAGATTTTTCAAATCTCTGGAGGACGTCACTGTAAACTACGAAAGCCATTATACCAACATTCAAAAGCGAAGTTGCAAGTTGGTATAAACTTCGGAAAGGCCTCATTTTTTAGCAAATACAATTCTCTATCATTGTAAATAAAGTTTAGTTGCTCTGGAACAATGAGTCTTTCAAAGGTGGCAATCTGCAAAACTTTTCAAATTTCTCCTCCATAAAATTATTTGAAAAACTAAACGATACATTTTGATGCTCACCTCGATGCGTTCCATTCAACCATGTATAAATGAACAAAAATAAAAACCTGCTTAAATTTTAAATAATTAGCACCTTTTAAAGTGCTACTTATTCAAAATGCAATTAAAATTGCATTAAAAAACATATAGCATGGCCAATTGTATTTCAGTTCAAAAGAACACGAGTAAGTAAGCTAGAAAACTGTTCGTAACTACCCGATGTACCCCCGCTTACTGACCAGGATTGGATCATGGCCTGTCCCTTAGTTCCGTTTTCTTACTTAATAGCTAATCCAGGGGATTTTGTGGTAGTTCGATCTGATTTCTAGCTGACATTTTCAAACTACTGACAATACAAAAACAGATTTGCACGCTAGGGAAAGAAAGGATCTAGAAATATTGACATTTTTATCTATGAAAAAACACAAAAATATGAGTACTTTTATTTGCCACACTGTTATCTATGGAAGTAATTCCGAGTTTGAACAGTACTTTCGAATAAGGGAAAATTGCAGCGTGAACCGCATGTGAACGAAAAACTAAGCACGCTTGATAAATAGTTCAAAAAACAAAAATGGCTTATTCTGAAGAATTGTTCAGAGTTTCATAAACTTTTGTATGCGGTGATTCGATGTGTCTGCAACGTACATATTGAGTTGTGAATCGAACGCTATGCCGCAAGGATAGTTCAGTGTAGTGGCCGACGATCCCTGGGACCCTGTTCCTGCAACTGTTGTGCCGTTGGTTGAACCCGGACAAAACATCTGTATTCGATGATTATTATTGTCCACCACGTACAAATTACTGTACGCATCGAGAATCAGAGAACAGGGATTTTTCAACAGCGTCGATGTTGAACCCGGTGCACCACTACTACTGCCTGCAACAACTGTCCCTAATGATGCGCCCCATAACCATTTGATAACATTGTGAGCATTATTATTAGCTACATATACGCTTAAATCGGAATCAACATAGATCCCTTGTCCCCAGCTCAGCTGATTTGTCCCTGTTCCCTGACCATTTCCGCCCGCAACAAGCGTTCCAGTCGTAGAATTTACAGACCACTTCATTACCCGGAAATTCGACGTGTCAGACACAAATATCATCGAGCTATTTTTGACATACAAACCATAACTCGCACTACCCAGTTGAGTATTAGCCGAACCGTAATTTCCGGTAAGTCCAGCAATTGTTGATCCGCTCGACGCTCCGCTCTGCCAGTACTGTACTCGATAGTTGCTCGAATCAGCAATGTACAAATTTTGATTTGAGTCAACATACACGGCATTCGGAGTATTG